TTAGCAACTGAATCCCCAAGTTTTAGCCAGGTATGTGGTCACCCAGGTAGACTCATTTCCCCGGTCCCCTTGCAAGAGGTGCAACCACTGGATTATGTTTTAGCCAATACATATGAGTGAAAGTCATGCTAGAAATCCCAGGGTATGTCCTTTAAAAGGCAGCTGCTTGCCATCTCCCCACCACTCCCTCTTGGTCCACCATGGCGGCTGGAAAAAAATGGTGACATCTGGAGCAGTCCCTTGGACCCATGTGACGGATAAGAGAGCTGCTAGGCCAGCCTTGGACTGCTCACTTCTGGACTGTGACATAAGAGCGAAATAAACTGCTAACTCATTAAGTCACTGTAGTTTGTTTTTCTTTTTTTACACAAATGTTCACAGCAGCCCAAACTGGAAACAACCCAAATGCCCATCAACAGGTGAACGGACCAACAACCCATGGTAGATTCCTGGAAGACCATTCAACAACAAGGTATGGATGAACCACAACATGGATGAATGCCCAAATCACCAACTCAGGCAGAACAAATCAGACGGAAAAAGAAGACGTGCTACAAGCCACTTTCTATTCTGCTGTAGCATCTTGGCTTATAACCCACTGGAACCTCTCAGTATTCTTCCCACTGTTCTCCATGAAATGGAAAGTGTAAATAAGTTGGAGTAAGCCAGCTGGAGTGGATATGCATCCACAAAAGCACAGGGGGATTCCACTGCAGCCCTGGCCACAGTTTCAGTGATCCCTGGAGTCTCCAGCGGGGCTCAAGTCGCCTGCACAGACTCTGTCTGAACAGCATCTCTCTCCCTGACCCCCCAAGTGCCCATCGACACCCCACAGGAGCCCAGGGTGCACACAGAGAAGTGGGGCTAGTCCCCTTCCCCTCCCTGCGCCCCCCGTACCTTCCGGCATGGCTTGGAGGATACTTCAAATGAGGCCTTGAACGCTCTCCTCTGCTGGGTTGTCAAGATGGTTCTGGGACGTTTGGGGCGCTTATGGTCCTTGCCGTCCTCAGTGGCTCCCTTCCCTGCCCCGTGGGCTGACTTGCAAAGACTTTCTTCATCATCACTTTTGCCTGAAAGAAGCAGAAACCATGCTGAGTCCCTCCAGGCCACTTCCTGGAGTTGTGTGTTGTTCTATAACAAGACACTCGGGTCCACGTTCCGAGCATCACTTTAGATATGAGTGCAGCAACCTGCGTGGTACTGATCTGAATGCCCCTAGTAAAGGGCTAAGGAAAAAAACCCTAAAATTGAGACACAGGAACCAGAAAGGTCACCACTGCAGTTCAGGACCATCTCCCAGGATGGGGCCCTAGCTCCACATTTACTAGCTGTGTGACCTTGGGCAAGTGACTCCACTCTCTGTGGCTCAACTTCCTCACCTGCAAAATCAGGATATAGGAGAACCGACTTCATTGAGGTGTTCATGAGGATCGAATGAGTTTGCCAACAAGGCACTCAGAAGACTGCTTCGTGTATATAAATACCCAGTTAGTATTATTTCTTAGATGTCATTTTTCAAGTCTAGACCTGGATGAGTTGTGAATAACCTCCTAGACATTATGTCTGAAATTCTAGCCACTCCAGAAGGTAGGAAACAGCACTGTGTCAGAGGCCACGGAGGACCAGCGTTAGACCACGTGCAGGTACAGATAACCGAGAAGAGGTAGAGCACACAGGTAATTAGTCAAAACTGCCTCTCTGTAAAATAGGTAACTCTCTATTAAAGTAACTGTATTTATACTTATGTGAATTACTTCAACTCTAGAAGCAACGGTCAGTACAAAGAGTAACTTGAAGGAAATAAAGCCTCTGTATGGATCGCATTCCTTCCCAGGCTACCTCTTGCCTCCTCCAGATTTCACTCTCCTGAGAAGATGCTTCTAGGGTCTGGGAAACACCCACACGAGAGAGGCTCCTTCCTACTCCGGGCACAAAAAGCCACAGGCAGTTGTGTGTCCAGATTACCCTCCTGAGACTCTCATTCCTCTCTGGTCCTCACAGAGCTCAGCTGTCCTCTCTCCCCAGTGGAAACCTTTGTCCCAAGGGCTTCCCCAGCTCCAGTCACCTGATTCCGGTCCCTTTCTGGCCTAGATGAGGGGATCCACTGTGTGTCGTCTACACATCCTTGTTTTCATCTGGACC